AAATCTTAATAGAGGTCCCTTGTGGACTATATAGTTCTGCTCAATTTGTGTATCATTTCAGGATTTCCTGGGAATACATGCAATACCCCCCCAAATATACTGCTTAAAATGTAAAAGTATGTTTGCCTGTACTGTTTGCAATAACATCTCTGAGTTAACTAGCATGATAACACCTCACCTTAAATCACTACTTCTCAGAGGGAAAACAAGACCTTTAACTCAATCTGCACTTAGAGCACATTATAATTTTCTCTTGAGGCTGAACAGACACAGAATAAAGGGAATTTATTCTGTGAAGGGAAACTGAGTCAGAACATAATCTCCGTAAGAGTTCACTGTTTGTCCTCTGCACCAGGAGAGCTGCTGCACAATTAAAATAAGAAATAGAATCACTTCCATTCCATGAAAATCCAGGCTTGGAATCACTGGGTCTTTCAGCATAACACTCTTGGCTCTGGTTGGAATGAAGGCTGGTACCCCAGGGCCCCCTGAACCCTCTGGTGATGCTGGAGCTGCATGCAGCAGCACCCTCGGGCCAATCCTTGTGCCCCCGAGCAGCCCAAAACAGAGGGACACGGGCTCTGTGCCTGTGGGGCTGGGCAGCAGCACCCAGGGACAGCAGGGACAGCAGGGACAGCAGGGGCAGCAGGGACAGCAGGGACTGCAGGGACAGCAGGGACTGCAGGGACTGCAGGGACAGCAGGGACAGCAGGGACAGCAGGGACAGCAGGGACTGCAGGGACAGCAGGGACAGCAGGGACTGCAGGGACAGCAGGGACTGCAGGGGCAGCAGGGACAGCAGGGACTGCAGGGGCAGCAGGGGCAGCAGGGACTGCAGGGACAGCAGGACCCAGGGACTGCAGGGACAGCAGGGACAGCAGGGACAGCAGGGGCAGCAGGGGCTGCAGGGACTGCAGGGACTGCAGGGGCAGCAGGGACTGCAGGGGCAGCAGGGACAGCAGGGGCTGCAGGGACAGCAGGGACTGCAGGGACAGCAGGGACAGCAGGGACAGCAGGGACTGCAGGGGCAGCAGGGGCTGCAGGGACTGCAGGGACAGCAGGACCCAGGGACTGCAGGGACAGCAGGGACAGCAGGGACAGCAGGGGCAGCAGGGGCTGCAGGGACTGCAGGGACTGCAGGGGCAGCAGGGGCTGCAGGGACTGCAGGGACAGCAGGGGCAGCAGGACCCAGGGACTGCAGGGGCTGCAGGGACAGCAGGGGCAGCAGGGACTGCAGGGGCAGCAGCTGCAGGACCACCAGGGCAAGCACAGCTTCAATACCAGCCACTGTTCCACAAAGATCAATAGAAAAAAGAGATCATGATTTTAGCAGGAATATCATCAGGTTCCACTCTTAAGACAATTAATTCACTGATCACTTTTACTACACAGTTGTGGCCCAAATCCTAAGGACAGTGCATTAGCTTCTGCCTGGATTGATTCTTTAATATAGATCATAGGAAAGACAGGAATGTAGGTACCATTCCTCACTTCTAATTGCAGTTAAAGATTATAAAATGATTCCTGATGATTAAATCGTTCCTCTGTAGTCATTACAGGTTTTTACATTCTGACTACATATTTATTTAATGGACTACTGAAGAAATACAATTTAGTTTGTGGTTCTTTGGTATAAGTCAATAACCTGATTATATTTTTTCATTACATAATTACACTTGGCTTTCTTTTCTTTTGATTGTTTTGAAATTAACAGAGAACTCCTTTTGAAAAAAACTCACTTATAGTCTGATCTATCACAAACAATTAAAGCATCTCCAAATATCTGGTAAAAGTGTAGGCTTATTCAAGAAGCCCCTGCCCCTGTTCTGGAAGCACCAGCAGGGCTGATTTTTATCACTTAAGGGCTGAAAATGCAAAGCTACAGCTGTGTTTTGTGTGAGTGCCATGCTGGCGAGGCAGAGCGATCCCAGAGCCCGCAGGAATCCGTGCAGGCTCCAGGGCACCGTCTGCACTGCTGGGCCTCAGAGCAGGGATGGGCATGGTGGTGGCTGCTGGCCAGGGCTGCTGCCTCTGGGGAGGTGTGGGAACCCTCATCTGTCACCACCCCAAAATGAGCAGCCCCATTTGTGCTTTGCCACCACTCATGGACAAGCCCAGGATGGCACCATGGAACCGACCAGCACAGCCTGGCCGTGTCCTGCCCTCCAGGGCAGAAACGCTGAGATTCTGCTCACTGCAAAACAACAACCTGACCGTGACCTGCCTGGTGCCACAGTGGAACTGTGCCCGCTGCAGCCCCTCCTGCCCCCGTCCCTCAGTGCCTGCCCTGCCCACGCACCCACAGCGCAGCTCCGTGTGCTACGGACTCGCACCCTGCTCTGCTGGATGCACCGCAGCTCCAACGCACAATTCAGAATATAATCAAATAATAAACCGGTTCTGCATTACTGCAACATCTGCTTTCAAACAGGTTTTATCTTTTTTCCTATCACCACGCAACTGGGTAAATCTGGGTGTTTCTTTCTGAAACACAATGATACAGAACAGTCATTGCACTCTGGGGTAATCAATACAGGCAATTGCTAAGCCAACTTTGGAATAAGCTACAGCTAAGTCTGAATAAGCTACAGATTAGTTTGGGAAAATTAGACCCGACAGATTACAGTATGCATTTCAAACTGAATTTCTCTTAAATACGTGATTTGTATCTATATCAGATTTTTCATTAAAAATAATCATTTTTATAAATATATATTATGATTCTTTTTGTTGATTACAATGTAAAAAGGAAAGAATAACTGTGTATGGACAATGAAAAAGTAGCCTGTTGATAATAAATATTTGTCAGGCCTTGTCACATCCGTAAACATTCCAATGTAACTGAAGAGACACAGCACTGATAAAAAAATACCTTCTGAAAAATCAATGGATTTTGAGCTAAAGCAGTTGCTAAACACACAGAAAACATCTTTATCCAACAGCCCCAGTGCTGTGAAAATTCCCAAGCCTTGCATTGGTACAGCTAAGGAAAATTTAATCTTCCCAAATACTCATCAGGGCACTCCATCCTGCAGACCTGACAGCCCCACTTATAATTAATTATACAATTTCGATGGGAATATCGACTACACAAAGCTATAAATCATAGAAAAAGTCAATAGGCATGGACACATTCAATCATGTCCCGACCAATGATTACTACTCTTAAAATACAATAATTATTTTCAGGAGCCAGCTTGAATTAAATTTCTGTCAGGCCGGTACAAGACCGGTGGTTGATGAAGGATGCGATGGATTTTTTGGGTTGAATTCGGCACAGAGACATTTATCGTTTTAGATAGGTAGTTTGTTTTTAGTGATCATGGCGCTGCGTGTTTAACTAGACCATGAAGATTAGATTATCTCCAATGGCTCATTATATCGTTTATCTCTTTCCTCCGTGTTTGATCTGGAAGATTTCCCACTTCTTGACGCATGAAAGAAATGACTACTGATTTTGAAATGGAATGTGTTTAAGTGGGATTCTGCCTGTACCTTCACACCCCACAGCCCTGTATGCAAATCAAGCAGCAGCCATCCAAAATACCACTGGGACAAGACAAACAAGCACCAAGAACAGCTTTACACAGCTTCAGGAATGCACCGGGGGAAAACACAAATGACAAATACCTGAGTTGTTTAAAAAAAAACTGGAAAAGTTATAATAATTATATACACAGAGGAAAAATTTGAGACAGGAATGTGATTAATATGGGAAAAGGAACTGGGAGGAGACTTACTGCTTTGAATTAAATGTCCCCAAAACTGCAAAACATCAGTGAAAGAAACATTAGGCATTTCCTGAGGATGGATTCACCTTGTAAATTGAAGCCAAGGAACCCCAAGCTGCTCTGACAGTAACTGCATTTGAAGGCACCACAGAGGTACCTCTGGAGTGAGCACCAGGCCACACGAGCCACGCTGTGGGACTGCAGCAAAGACCAGAGGGGAATCAGATCTTCACCTCCCATGGGTCGTACTCATCAAACTCTTCTGACCCCAACAAATGAGTGAAATCTCAGATTCTCACACGGAATCAGTCTCTCAGGTGAAGCCAACTTAAAATCAGAGAGGCTTCAGCTGCCCTCCATATCCTAGAGCCCTGCAGACAGCCCTCCAACAGCCTGGCTCCCTGTGAGCAGTGAGAGAAGGAGCTGCAGGCAGGGGAAAAGAGGAGAGAGGTGGAGAACCAGGGATCCTCTGCTCAACCCATCCCTGGCACCAAGCAGCCGTGTGCCCTGTGAGTGGGCACACTGCGTGACTGCTTCAGAGTGCAGCTAAACTGGGAGGTGGGGATGAGGGCCCTCTCTGTCTTCCCTTGCATACATAACCCCTAGGAACCCTGGATGAAATGGAGAAAGCTGCAAGCACTGACACACAGCTTTTCCAAAATGAAGTGGTTGCCATTTGAAATAAAATCACATAAAGAAACTATGATGCCCCTCTCCACATAAAAATCAGATTCCTTATTACAAATCAGAGTGTTAGTGTGCCCTGTCTGCTTAATCCTCTTGGGAAGCCCTGCATGCTTGTCCAAATAATGACAGTCTGCTGCAGAGCTTGAGATTGCTATTCTACTTACTCTTGTGTTTCTAGTATATTTTTGTAGACTTAGAAGACCCAGGTATTTTCAGATGGGCTTTGCATTTAAGGGCTTTTCCTAAGTTACTGTGTGATGCACAATGAGGAGCTAGGAAGAAAAACAGGATGCTTGAAGAAATGCAGACTAGAGGACAGACAAGAAGAGTGAATTGTTGTGTACATTTAATTTACAATATATTTGTATATAAAAGAAGGTAAACATGCCAAAGTTAGGAATCTGTACACAAAAGAACTGGCTAAGTGGTGAGGAAATCTAGAGCAGTTATTGTGTTGGCTGAATTATCTCTTCTCATTCTGCAGACAGGAGGGGTGATAAGGATAAAGGGCTGGTTAGAGAAATGCAATTTGTATGTGAGTTCCCAACTTACTCCTTTGAATGGGTTTAGCAACGAACTTACCGCAGTGCCATTGTTGTCTCTAAATACGTCTTGATTAAAATAGTCAAAGAGCTTCTTTTCCAATTGCAGCATAACCTAAATAAAAATATAGGGAGAAAGGTCAGCAAAGCTCTTGGACTCAGTTACTCAACACCCAGGTGCTGGCAGTGACCCTTTCAGAGACATGCAGCCCTTTAAAACCACACATTTCCACATGTCCAAAGCCCCTTGTCGGCCTGCCCATTTGCTTGGCTGGCAATCACTTAAACAGATCCAATTAACTGAGCATTAGGTGTGACAATCTATATCCTCCCCTCCCTTTACATTATCACTTTGGAACAACTATATTCATGCTTTGTAGAAAAGAAAATGAACATTCAACACTGTTTCTATTTACACTGGGGTGCCAAGGGCATTAAGTTGTTTACCTTTCGGTCATTATCAGATTCACGAAATATTAGCTTGACTACTTCATTTGTGTCAGCTGCCCGGATGGTCTGCATCGTGGCCTTTGCACACAGCGTCTAAGAAAAGCATAAGGGGAGAAAGGGAAACAAGCTTATATGCAACAGAAGACCAGATTTAACCAAACATTATCAACAGATGTGTCTTCAATGCCCCCCATCAAATATAACTTGGCTGTAGGTCAAAATACAAAGCATTGCTAATTTAAGCCACTTCCACTTATGACGGACTTGAAACAATAAACTGAATTACCACTTGAAGAGAAACAGGCAATATTAAGAAAATATCAATCAGGAAAGGCAAATAGTCATTCAGCTTGTACTATGTAGACAGGTTCTTTCACAGGTATCACTGTATGCTGTATCACACATTAATTGCAAACATCCTCCTTGCTTACAGATAATGACCAGGTTTTGTGCTGATTCTTAAGAGCTGATAACAACATTGACACTACAGTTCTGCGAGTTAACCCTTGTTTGAAAAAACATCTGCCTATAAATTAATGTTACAAGTACACTTTGCAAGTCCGAGAAATGCTTACACAATCTGACAGCAATTTTCACAATTTACTTTGCATAGCAATTTCCCTCTTTTAAATAAGAGACATCATGTCCCTAGATATTTTGAGGACTGGGTGCCTAAAACATGTTATGAACCAACATTTTATCAGGCACAGATGAACACAGATGAACAACTTTGTATCAGGCATAGTATGAATTTCCACGGGAGTGTTGGGCCTTGATCCATTGGCTGCTGGCCTGGCTGGGACCCGGTTCCACAGGTAGCGGGGAATAACACGAAATGGGCTGCTCAAAGGGTTGGCTCCACCGCATGGCAACAGGTAAAAATCCAGAGCTTTTAGCAAAGCAGTTAGCAAAGCTTTAAGTACGTTATGTGCTTTGAAACGGAGGATCTCCATCTTACTGGGCACATTTTGTGTGTGCTCTGCAGCCTCCGTGCCTGGGCAAGAGACTGCTGGCTGCTGTGCAGAGCCACCCGTGCCCTCTGCCTGGCTGCTGGGAGCCACAAGCAAAGTCAGAAAGCAGAACTGAGGACATTGTTCAAACCGGGCACCGTTCAAAGACGGATGTGTCCCCACACCTGGAGGCAACTCGGCATCCATGGCTGCTGACAGGGTCTGTGCACAGACACGGGTGCGGATACTGGCAAAGACCTTCCTGAATCATTTTGCTACAGGTTGTTCAGAAAGTGTTTTCTGTTAAAGAAAGTAACTGAGTCAAGGAGAAGTAACGAGGTAAAGAGGTAACAAGGAATGAGGTGCTCACCCCATTTCTTTTCATAATAACCAGACAAAAGGTCTTCATTTCGCATAATGTTAATTTGTAAAATAAATATGTTCTGTGGTATAGACTTTATGTTCTGTGGTACAGACTTTCACATCCTACTACGTGCTTCTATCTCTCACAGACAGAAACACTTATATTTGGACTCATTATCAGAGGTGCAGTGTATACCAGACACAACACTATGAAGTACAGCTCACTTCTCCTTTCCCCATTCTCGCCTTCTCCTGAAGGCAGGAATTCATGCCAAACATGTATTTAAACAAATATCCATCTGCTTCCAAATAATTAAGATCTCAGCTGAGGATCTCAGTGCCAGAATGAGAACAATCTGCCAATGGACATTTTGCTCCCATTTGATAAAAATTTGATCCTTGATGAAGGCCCTTGCCTATTGGCACAGTAGAGATAAAAAGCAGCAAGTTAAGTGCTTTCATTTTTAACAAGTAACTTGAATGGGATTTGGTAAAAACCCACAAATCTTGTTATTTTTCTTACAAGTTTGTGAATTAAACAGGTGTTGATTCCCCATCTCACTGAAAAAGTGACATCCATTTCTGACAAACTTTTCCTGACTGTTTCCTCCGTCCCCAAAAGCAGTGCCACGTTTGTCTGAGTCTGGGTTTACCCTAGAGCACAGCACACCCGCAGTGCCAGAACAGCGGCAGGTGCGTCCATCACGGGTCCCACCGGCACAAGGAGCACTGGGCACGGGCTCTGAGCGCCGCATCTCCTCCGCACAGGGGCTGCTCTGAGCACCGCATCTCCTCCGCACAGGGGCTGCTCTGAGCACCGCATCTCCTCCGCAGGACTCCAGGGCGCTTTCCTGAAGCCTGGGAGAAGCGGCCTAACACGCTGGCCGAACGCCACCCTGCCTGGCAGAGGAGCGGCGTGCTGGGCCATGTGGGAGCTGCACCTCCTCACCTTGCCCTTTCAGCACGGCTCCGCCTGTTCCCTGCAGCGGGGCAGGGCCGGTGCCTTTGTCCGCTCGCACTCGCAGAGCCCTCGGCCATCTGCGTCCAGGAGCCAGCGAGGGAACCCAGCAGCGAGCCATGCCCCACCTCGCTCCCTCCACGGCCGCGATTGAAATTCAGAGCACAGAGCAGATAATCGGGTCAAGCCCAAAAAAGGAGGCTTTGGGCTCATGTGTCACAAATCAGTCTGGTCCCTTCAAACAGCACACCAGATTAGAACAAGCACCCGAACAAACCAGAGCGGAAAACCCGCAGCTCTCTAAAGCTGGTTTCAAAAGCTCCAACAAATCGCTCCATCTTTCACTCATTTAAACTTTCCAAATGAGGGTCAATACGGTCCCCGAGCATCCAAATGCTAATGCGCTTAAGTGCGCTTAAGCAGCTTTCCAGAGTGAATGGGCCAAAGAAGGGCTCGAAAAGACACGGCAGAGTTACTGTCACTGTCAAAAAGTCATTGTAGCCACCCCCAGAGTGGTTGCAATTCAACAAATTCATGATTTCTGTCTCTTAAAGGCATCTGCTTGAGAACATTTTTTTCCCTGAGCTGCTTTATCTCACAACGTCAGGCCGGCTCCAAAAGAAAAACCCTGCGATCGACTCTTGAGAACCAATACAGAGAAAGGGCCCACATACCTTATTGCTTTCAAATTTCACACACACAAAAAGTTACCTTATTCACGAACAAAAGTGATTGGGCAAAGGTTCATTTCTTATACAAGCTGGAGGCACTCCTTTTTTCCTCCTCCTTTCAATTTCTGCACAGTCGTAGTCACCCAAGCAGAAAACTTCCAGGATCATGTGCCTTTTTAGGCAAGCCTGCTTATGAAGGGATTTTTTGTTGCTAGCAAAGAAAATCAAAATGCTATGAAAACTCACTGTTCTTTGCCGGGTATTCCCTCAAAAGTATATTTTCACAAGGGCAGAAAAGGTGAAATCAGATATCATAACTCGACATAACTTCTTTTTAAAAAAACATCTTTATTTTCTTTGGAAACAAGATTTGGTTAAAAAGCTTGCAGGAGGGCTGTATTCAGAATTGAGAGCTCAGTAGCCAGCCTTTCCCTAGCAAACACAGCCATATCTTATTCCTGTTTTCCCATACTATACACAGGTAGAAGCTTTGTGGCACTTCTGAAATAGCCCTTTGCGATAACTTATGTGTACTGAATTGCAAAACACAGTAACAACTTTCCTGACAACGGCCTTGGAATGTAATAACAGCATCCTGTTACACAAAGCTAGGAGGAAATGGTTTTTATATTTACAAGAGACAAATCTGAAACTTCTTCTAAACTCGGCAATTCTCAGAATTACACTGTTGATTTACAGCATAACACACCTTCTGCTCCCCCATATACACCACAAATCATAGTGTGTAAGACTGCATTTCTTCATACTTAGAGTAAATGGGATCCAGGCATGAAAACAATTGTTATATACATAAAACACACAACAGTCTATAGCATACACTTTATATGGTGTGTACATGGGAACACTGTGAGCAGCTGTGGTCTGCACTGCTGCCTCCTGCTTGGCTGGAAACTGCAGCTCATTTTTCATTGATTCCACACCTCAGAGTCTGAGTCCACCTCCTGATGTGTGAGCTATTACATGCTTGTGAGTCCCTCAATAATTTTTGGGAATTTGGGAAACCCCCCAAAAGGGGATATTTAAACACCTACAGATTCAACCTGTCCTGCTGCATCTGCCCACTGATGCTAAAGATGTGCATTATTGTTCTCTATTATTTGAATACTCAGGACTTATTATCATTTTGAATTCCTCTTAAAAAACAGAAGAGAAAACAGAATGTATACATTGTTCCGTTACAATAAAAGAGTTCAGCAATAGCTGCCACTGGAATTTGCAGCAGGCTGCACAGATTGACACAGATGTGCTCATGGCTGTGAATGCTAGGAGAGAAGTTCAGAGTGAAGGTTCCTGACAGGAGCTAATTGAAATAAGGTCCTGAGCACATGAGCAACCAAATCAACTAGATTTAAGATATTTGACTTTTTTTCATTAAAGTACTCTGTGGATTCTGAAATGACAGAAAAGACAGACATACATGTATCATCTAATTATCAAAGTGAAATACTACTGAAATGCTGCTCAAGACCCAAAATCAATCTGACACTTATTAAACTAGGATAATATTTTAAAAAAATTATTATAATCTGGATGCAAATTGTATTTGAAATAATCAGCAAGGTAAAAAATTTGCTACTTTGGGAATAACCGAAGCATCTGTCTTGTTTGGGCTCCTCCTTAGCTTTGAGGAGATGACATGATTTCCTGGATATTGGGAATGTAACAGCAGCAAATTCCCAAAGTCAAATGATGTCAGAGAATTAAAATTTGCAAGTGAGAAAAACAAAGTTACACAAAACTTTCTGAGTCAATGAGAGTTGTGCATTTAGCTATGGGACAGGTAACACCATGCTTTTTAAACTGCACCTTCCCATTGAAATGGAGGCTTATTATAGCAAATTTTTCACAGCCACAGAGGTTTTTGGCTTCAAAGCTGCTGCAAAAATCAAGGGCATCCCAGGGCTCAATCTCCAGGGTACAGCAACCAAACCCTGTCTGAGAGGACATACACTTCTATTGGAAAAAATATCCTTTAGACTATATATTACCTTGTGTTAACTTTAACTGTGTGCAAATAGCAATAATATCCCAGAACAGCTACTACACTTTCCAGCAGCAGGAACTGAACTCAGCAGTGACGTAAGTGTTAGCTGAATAAAGAACAAACACAAACAAGTATTAATGAGAATC